ATTCATCACCGAAACAAAGTAACCATTTGTTGCCAACAATAAAGAAAAATAAAAAAAGAAACTGTGAATCATTTGAGAGATGTAGATTCCATTTGTTCCACCTGTATCATTTTGATTCCATATGACTCTTCAAATAGATGGTCCTATGTCATTAATGGTTTTCTGCAGCATAATCCAGAGGATAGCTACAAAATAGAAAAGAAATGAAAAAATAATAATTTAATAATGGTTGCACATAATAGGGATCAAAATGATACAGGTAGAACATTAATATATTTTTCAAAAGGCATAATCAATACTGTCACACCCCCAAACCGGAACGGCGGAAACATTCGGCGGTGGATGACGTCATGTATAGTATCACAACCATTGCATTACAGTAATCAAAGTAAACACAACCATTACATTAAGTAAAAATATTACATCGGTTTGATTCATGCTTATACACTTCAAAAGTATAACAAAAGTAAAAGACGAGACTCTATACGCTCCGCCTTCTCAAAACTCCAGGAGGTACCTGTCTACTGATTCCCTGAGAATACAAGCAGTTTTGAAAGAGTATCAGCATAAAGCTGGTGAGTTCATAAGCATATTTTTGAGAGGAAAATCGGTTAATGAATCAATGAATGTATTCGTATGCTTCCAAGAAAATCCATTATTTTCTAACATGTGTATTTTGTTACTGAGTCTCATATCGTAATAATTCATATATCTAGTTACCACTGAATGTGTTGTGCATTGTTTGATTTAATAAGAAACCTCTTTGCACATGAAAAACCTTGATTATAACCAGTATGTATAGTAAGTTCGGAAAGCTCTGAAACTGTAATATGTATAGTAGTCCTATTACTTTATAATAAAACTAATTAAAGTTATTACCATTCATACATTAATCGTATTTTATTAGTACCAAATTTATGAGTTGTTATAACCATACTTGACCATTGAATTGCCTGAACGACGTTCTTCAGGTGTCGGAATCGAAATGACTTTTGTCACCCAGGCCTGCCGGTCTAACTGTAGCTAACATTTATGGTGCGGGATTGTCAATCCCATATAGATCTATACACAAATTCACGTTCTCCCGCAAGGAGACTCTGGTTATAATCTCAGGACTTTTTTTAGTACTTAGGTAAGTATGCGAAGAATGATCACTCATAAAATGCTATACTAACGATTACATGTAGAATAAAATGAATCCATTGAATTTAGCTTGTTGTCTATATATCCCATAAACTACACACTATATAGTTTATATATTTGATTGCATTGAATTTATGTCTGTACATTGATATGTTAGTTGTTCCATAAACTATACCTATTATAGTTTATATGTTCATTCTTGCATTCAATTCATGTTTTACATTGAAAGTTCTGTGATTATGATGAAAACTTCCCTTATGCTCAGCATAGTACAAAAGGGATAAAATATCTATATATTTTATAAAAGTATAGAAACTGTATGATTGTATCAATTGCATCCGTTTTAAGTTTATTGAAATCCTTTTTGTATAAGTTTCACAAAATCAATTAAGTTTGGCTTGTATTCCCCCTGAAAACGTTAAAATCATAAAAGTGTAGGGGTATGAACTCACAGTTAGCTGTGTGCAAACGTCGAATCAACGAACTGGAATGAAGACCCTCGAGTTGTAGCGTGGCACTTAACGGAATCCTAATAACAATTAAATACATATATGTATCTAAATTAGCGATTTCGTTAGATAAAGTGTTAGAAAAAAAACTTGCTTTCGGTTAAGGAATGTTACCGGGACTTGATTGAATTGAGAAAAGTGGGTTTTCAGTCTAATTCACTGCATAGGAAGTGTGTACGGCCGTGAATGGGGGTTTACGGCCGTGAACAGGTGTACATTTGAAGTGTGTACGACTGTGAACTGGTGTGCGGTCAATGAAGACTTGCAGATTTGAAGGGTGTACGCCCGTACACTCAAGAACAAGGTTGCTGGATTCGTTGAAAAACGTGTTCTAGATGCTCCGAAATGACTCCCAATGGTGATTCTCGATGTTTCCCGGAAGAATAAGGGTGTTTTTGGGGTGTACGGTCAGGAGTCTAGAGAGATAAGGAGAGAGTGTCCGGCCAGAAAAATGTAAATGAGGGGTAGGGTCTCGTATTTATAGGGGTTTTCGTGGTCGGTGGTGGGGTCCACCCGACGCTGGCCGTAAACGAATGTACGGCCTTACACGGGTTTACGACCGTAAACTCACTTAGGCCGAAAACCGATGTTTTGATCGATGGATAATTCGAAATTTTCGTGAAGTTTTAGTTCCGACTCATATAAAAATTTAATTATATAACACTAGATGATTTTCTAAACCAAGAATTTTGACGGAAACTTAATAAAATTCAAATTTTATTAACGGAAATCGGATAACGGAAACGGAAAAAGGTTCGGGTTGTCACAAATACATACATTTTTCTCCAACTCCCACATTTTTCATGAATCTTGAGAACTTTTATCACAATATTAGATTTCCACTCTGCAAAACAAAGCACAAAATAAGAACCCAATTTATTCAATCCATGAAATCTAGAATTGAAAACTTTATCAATCATGAGATTATAAAAAAGGGAACAATATACAACACATATTACATAAAGTATAAATGTTTATAGCAAAGCTACAAAAGCTGGAGTGAGGTTCAATATTGGTAGCACTCCTCATTTCATGATTTTTCTGTACCATCTTCCTTAATTATCAACCATACCCTTGTACCAAAATTACGAAATTGCCCCTTCCCATCAGCGACCTGTTTTTGAAAACAAATTCCAAATGGGCGACATATATAACCATGAAAGTAATCAAATGTCAGATGTATGAACCTTTATAGCTTAAAAAACTATGTATATTGTCTGCCTATAATTAGGTAATTCAACTTTTTATCTAGAGAACAAAAAATTACAGATCAGCATGTGAAAGGGTTCTTGCCTCGTTAAAGCACTAAAATGAAGCCAATATCAATCAGAACCTAGTAGCCTCCTCGATCGATTTAACCAGTCTACTGTTAAACATTTATTGGTGCAATCATAGAATTAGATGGTATTGATAGATTGGTTGATTTGTAACGGTAATAACATTTAACAAACAAACAAAGAAACAAACCCATCAATTCAACTTATAACCAATCTACTTACCAAGAAAGAAAGGAGTTACCTTTTTACCCTTTAACCCCTTTACTGGTTAGACGGAAAGTAAGGACTTTCTTGTAATTAAACCTATTACTGGAATATACAAATAATTCTAAATTGTAGTTGTGAGCAGGCTATTAGGGAACTTGTAACGAAGACAACTGCGAAAAAAAAACAGAGATGAAATTAGGGCTAGTGTAAGCCGAAAATTGAACTTTCAGCCACCTTCTTCATGGAATATGGCTCGGGCTACTCACAGACATGGCCCTTAGCGAACGAAAAGCAGAGATAGATACTTGACTGCATTCGTCGAGACGTCTGACCACGGCCAACGACAGACCCAACAGACCCGAGATAAGACACACCAACGCCGACTTCGATAGAAGACGATCCAACATCAAAATAAGGCCGCTTACGACGGTCAACCATATCGAGAAGACGTAAACTCAAACAATCCGAACAACACAAACAATGACAAAGCAGAGCATTAGAGAAAATATCCTTATATGATCAGAAACCAACTATTACAAACACAAAGCATTAAAAATAAAGACAAAGCTATCAAAAATCACACCAAATAATATGTTCAGTTTGTGAAACGGCTTAATCATTACCCAAACATAAATCTTTTGTTATTTTTCCTTTTTTCTCGTTTTTTGTCCAAAATAAGCAAAATCCGTAGATAATCCATAGGTAATTACCGACGGATTACCGATGGTTAGCCGATTCCGTCGGTAATCCGTAGGTAACTACCGACAAATTATCGACGGAAGTGGCCATCCGTCGGTAATTACCTGCGGATTAGCTACGGATTTTCCTTATTTTCGAAAATTCGGACACGGAACGTTGTTTTTTTTTCGCTTTATTTTTTTACACCTCTACTATACATGATCATCTACACTTTCACCACCTTATACCTAATATTTATGTGTGTATAGCCTTGTACACCTTTCAATCAGCTACTTATTACATGCTTTAACATTAAAATCACTACTTTTATCCACACACATAAACATACACACATACACATATATACATACATACATACATACATACACACACGAACACATATACATATACATAAACTCTTAGACACACATACACAAATACATACACACATACACATATAAACACACACATACACATACACATAGACACACTAAGACACACATTCACATATATACATATACATACATAAACACATATACACATACATATACACATGTGTATACACGGAGACACACTAAGACATACATACATACATACATACATACACACATATACATAGACATATACATATATATAGATACACACATATATGCATACACATACACACATACATATACATAAACACACACACACACACATACACATACATACATACTCCGTCATACACACATAGATATTAGGTATATGTGTGTTTATGTATGTATGTGAAAGTGTATGTATGTATTTGTGCGAATATTACTGTAATGTTAAAGCATGAAATGAGTAACAGATCAAAAGATGCACACGACTATACATACGTATATCTTAGGTATAAGTTGGTGAAAGTGTAGATAAACATGTATAGTAGAGGTGCCAAAAAAACGAAGTTCGGTTCTGATATGAAGAAAATAAGGAAAATCTATAGGTAATCACACCCTCTCATGCATGTACAAAAGAAAGCACATTATTTGAAAATTATAGTAACTCAATTCATTCATTTATTAGATAGAATATCTTTTATACAATAAGATTTATTCAGAACAATCACTGAAACACACTTAGTACTAAACATTCATTTAAAAAGAGTAGATATATAATGAAGATCCGTATTGCATGCCCATTTATAATTATCATCACATGCACCTTCTCAGAAAGAGATATCCAAACCTTGAAATTTTTCCGTCGTAATGTCATCCAAAATCTGACTCATTTCATTTGTAAGATAATTGCTCCATCCTCCAACCTTACCTTCCCTAAAGAAACTGGCATTAGGGACACCCGTAAAGAGATCCCCATTCTTATTGACTTCCTTTAGATTTTCAAAACTACATAGCTTCACGATCTCTTCCACTACACCATTGGTCACTTCCTCCTCCGTGAAAGGGTAGCCCAAGAACTCTGCCAAACGCTTCACTTTACTTGCAGTATCTATTTTCATGTCGTCATATGTTAAACATAGAACCTTTGTCGGATCTTCAGAACTAGCCTTATAGTACTCTATCACATGATCCCAGTAAGGTCCATATGGCATAAAACCTTTAGCATACACATCAAGCATCTCACCGATGGTCATTTGGGTACGAGATTTGTCTTTCAACTTGTTTGCAAAGTGAAACCAAGAGACCAAAACATCCTTAGGGTTCCTACACATGTAAACTATTCGACAGCTAGAATCAAGAATGGATTTAGGTAACGCGTTGTAAGGTATATGGCTAGCCAAGAGACATGGTGGATTTTCAGGACCTTTAGTAATGATTTCAGTCTCAAGGAAAGGCACACATTTGTGGGGGTTAGAGATGTTTAGAGGGTGATCTGACGGTTTGATGTTTTTGTACTTTGTTCGGTTCACAATAGCAAACACGAGGGCCTTAATCCATGTTGTACCACATTTTGGTTGTGTAATGACGTAGATATTAGTTGAATGAGCTTGAAAACTTTCTTGCACAGCCATCATTGTTTCAATTGAGAATGGATTTTCCGAGGTGTACCAAAATCCTTGATACATGTAAACGTCTTGACCCATGCATCCAGCCTTTTTCTTTAGGAAATTGGCTAAACTTATCCTTGTATCTATCCAAAAGGATGGCGAGATTTTCTTTTTCTTGTTGGTCGTGTTCTGAAGTCAGTGACAGAGAAGAAACATCAGGGATTGACATTGGAAGGATTTTATACGTGGAGTGAAATGAACTTTTATTCCTTAATATATATAAACACAAAGGGTGCGTTAAAATGAAATCTTATTGCTTAATATATATATAGAAACAAAGGGCGGCCAAATCTGAAGAAATTGGCCTTTTATTTTCTCGATAATATGGTAAAAAACGTGGCGCTCGTTGCTATTAAACTGATGATTATTTAATTATTTGAACTTTTCATGGAGTAAATTACATATAGAATTTAGTCCTTGCGGTATACAAAAGTTACAATTTCGGTCCACCATTTGTAGTTATCCTAATGTCGTCCTTATATTTCCTTTTAACAGAGAATTTCTCCTTGGACAATTAAAACTACGTAGCCAAATGTTAGATTTTTAATAATAACGTTTTTACTCTTTGAAAAAATTGTTACCTATATTTTAGAGTAAATTATAGTTTTGATCCTTGTGATCTTCTATACAGGTGATGGTTTTATTTTGAGTAGTCTACATGTTCTCATTTTCATAAACAGGTGATCTTTTTATCTAACTCCATCAGATCTAGGCTGTTAAGTCATTGCAAAATGATCGTTTACCCTAAAAAAATGATGTAAAAATATAAACTAAACTACAGGGACTAAACTAGCAGACCATCTAAAGCTCATTAAGAACTATCATTTTCCTATGGTTTTTCCTCATATCTATATTTTATTGTAGCCGAGTTTGAAGAATATTTGCGAATTGATACATAAAACAAACGAATTAGTTATTGTAATTTCAAACTTTGCGTCTGTGAAGTTTGGCAACAATAAAAATATGTATATAATATATTTAAAAGTAAAATAAAGAAACGGTCCCTATGGAGAGGTATAGCCCAAGTTTTGAGAAATTTATGCCAAACCTCCGTTTCAAAATTAAGCATATTTTGTACTTTTGGCACAATCCGTACATGCTTGTTGGTAAGAAAACAAAATGTGTAGAGACAAAATTTCACCATATAGAATTCGTATTGGTCGCTCCTCTAATAAGAAATGTCTTGATCAAATCAACGCTCACGAATTTGGATTTTTCTCTACTCAACATATCTAACCATTTAGGCAAAGTACTTGGCGGATACCATCTTTAAAATAACCAGAGTCATAGTTTCGAATAGTATCAACATTTAAGTAAAACGCTAGCACTGAATTACATGCAAAGCTACTAACAACAATAGAAAGAAATCAAGTTCCAAATTTATATGTCGGTATATAAATAAGACGATGACTAACATAAAACACACACACACACATTGATGCGTTTTTGTTTTCAGGGCGATGGCCACTAGGATGATGGTGATTTTTGTTCAAACCCAAAAATCGATATCAAATCCAATTGCTCAAAACCTAATATTAATTTTAAACGTGAACCAAAGCTCATGGAGTTCTTCAAACTCCATAGAAGAAGTTACGAAGGGACCAAATCTCATTAATTAAAACGGACCAAAACACCAAACACTCATAAATCTAACGATGAAACACAATAAATTAAGGATCTTTGCAACTCACAAAGGTCCTCACGGTAGATGAAGGATGATCTCTTTAGTTGCAAAAATTCAAAAACACAATTGATGATGTTAGTTTCATTAGCATAGCCAGACAACTCTGGCGCGCCAACCGGCACTCCCCTGCTAGCCCCTGTCTTCTAGCGCTATCTTGTCAGCCTTACCTCGTGCTCCTTTGCCAGCCCTGTCTAGTGCTCCCTTGACATCCTTTCCTGGTGTGCTCCCGCCATCCTTTCTTGGTGCGCGCCCACTAGCCTTGCCTGGTGTGCGCCCGCCAGCCTTGACTGGTGCGCGCCCGCCAGCCTTGACTGGTGCGCGCCTGCCATCCTTGTCTGGCGCTTGCCTGCCATCCCTACCGGCACGTGCCTCTCGGCCGCCCCTGTCGTCCCCGGGCAGTCTTGCCCAACTCCTTGCTAGTTGGGCCTGAATTGGGTTAGCCCAAGGCCTGACCTAATTCCCTTGACCTAATTGTTCCCCATAAGGAGAATAATGCCTCCTCCATGGAGGGAATTTCCCTTACACTCTCTTCCACTACCTTGCACCTCAAGGCACTAGCCTACGTCATGCCCATATACTCGCCATCATACGAAGATGGTTCTGTCCAACCAGGAAGAACCCTCTCATCTCTACCAACCGATCTAACTTGATCGTCAGAGCCTGCACCGGGGTCATAATACTTGGGGTGGTTCTAACGATTTTGCTTTGTGTTCCTAGATCCCATATGAAGCAGCAGTCAAGAAATCAATCCAGAGATTTGAGTCGCATCATTTGGTGTCATCCCACACTTGAACGTGTAGCCATCGTCTTGTCTCAAACTCGTTCCCGCCCTAATCTTTTCTGATCTGTTGCAATTTCTTTTCAGTTTTGCAAAAATCTTTTCATTCCTACCATTTGTTCAGATCCGTTTAGCTCTCACGAAGATCTATCCACATTTGATTCACTATCTCTCAGGTCTCCCGATCTGATGCATTTTTCGGTTCAAATCTATCGATCTGATGCATTTTTTAGTTCAGATCTCTCGATCTGATGTGTTTTTCTTTCAGATCTCCACCTCTGCTTTCATTTTTTTGCTCAGATGTATAGATCTGCTCTGTTTTTTGCTTATACAGAACATTTTTGAAGTTTGCAAAGATCTTCTCAGATTTGTTTTGTTCATATTTTGCTATGTTCTTCAACAACTTGAGGAGAAAAATAATTTTTTAGAAGCTTTTAACCGCTTATCAGTTCATATTACCAAAAAAACCGTTTTGATAAAACTGCAAAATTGGTCCCTATGGTTTCGCAAAAACTGTGGATAGGGTCCAAAAAGTTTCTGACTTGCATGGAAGGTCCAAAATCAAGAAATTTACGTGATTTTGGTTCTAGAAAACTTGAAAATACCGTTTTCCCCTTTAAATTTCTTTTTTTGTATATTTTCCATATTTATTTTAAAACTCTATAAATAAAACATGAAAAGAACAAAAATTGGCCCCCCTACCCCACCTATCTCTCTCTCTCTCTCTCTCTCTAACCTAACCTAACCTACCCCACCTATCTATCTCTCTCTCTCTCTCTCTCTCTCTCTCTCTCTAACCTAACGTAACCTAACCCAGATGCCTATAAATAAAACATGAAAAGAAAAAAAATTGGCCCCCCATATAGGCTTGGTTGGGTTTTTGTCCGGTTGGGTTTTATATTCATATGTATGTGTGTAAGTTTTAATCTGCATGTGATGAGTGATGAAGAAGATGGGAAATAGAGTCAAAGAAAGAGTGAGGGAGAATGTGTGGTACGGTGGAGACTAGAGAGGGGTAGGGTGGGGTGGGATTTTTTTTTATAATTGATTAAATAATAAAATAAATAAATAAAATGTAAAAAATAAATGATAAGGGTAAAATAGTTTTTTTTAATTTGTTAGAGACCAAATTCACAGAACATTTCTAATCTTAGGACCAAATTCACGGGAAATTCCTGATTTTGGACATTCCATACAAGTTAGAAACTTTTTGGATCCCATCCACAATTTTCTACAAACCACAAGGACCAATTTTGCAGTTTTGTCAATCGTTTTTAGTTGAGGTTTTCCGCATTCATCCCCATCATTTGTTTGTAAATATTGTTATGATGATTGTATATTCATAGAACCCCTTAGAAATCGTTTATACATTCTCACAAAAACCCATCAGACCATATTTTGATGATTTACCCCAAAAATATATCCTACACTTACAGTTTACTACACAAACAAAAAAAAAATACAAGAATGGTGCATGTTTCCTTATGCCACCTCTCAACCAAAAAAGAAAGGGGGGGGGGGAGATAGTAGGGCTCTGTACTTTTCTGCATTCAAATGACAAGACTCAGGGCCCACATTGTTCTTACAAGAGTCAACACTCAACAACTCGTAGAAAAAAACAAGACCCAAGGCGGGTCACACTGTGTCTCCCTCCTACTCGAAAACGATGATGGCACAATGACCACCTTCATGTTTTCTCACGCCAACAACTAACCTCTATTACAACCTGACCGATTCCGGAACCCGACAATTTTCGTTCTTCTCTGGTGAAACGACACCGCTCCCGGACGAAGCAACGATCCTAGGCCCCATCTAGCTTGATATACCATCGAGAACGAAAGCCACAACAACCACCACTCGTCGACCACTAGAAACAGCGGCCAAAGCCTCGCTATCGTGACCACTTGCAAGTGCCACCTCATACTGTCGTCTATCGCTAGTATCAACATCCGAGACGCAACCTTGTCCAATGAAAAACTTCCAACAACAGCTCTCCTCATCTACATCATCAGTAATCACCGGAATCTCCTCCATATCTCTCCACCATCCGGAGCTATAACATCAAAAGTCGATCGTCGCTCTTTCACCACCAGCCGATCCTCCTGCAGCAGCTGATCCGATGCAAATCACCATCATTGCTAGATAGGACCACTCATTGTCTTCGACCATCATCAACACAGGTGACACAAGAGAATGGCGCCACTGGAGATTCGTATCGCTGCTCTGATCCTCTCTTGAAAGAGACGATCTCAAGCGAGGAACAACAAAACCATCACCTCCTGTCACTAGAAAATTGCTACTCCGACCTCTCTTACGCACAATAAACTATGAAAAAGAAAAAAATTCATCACCGAAACTCCCATAGAAA